AGAAGCTACTAGGAACAAGTGCATCGCTTCTAGTAACAAGTGCCTTATGTCAATAGGGATGAGGTCCCAGTATAGTTGCTATACAGGTACATGCCATACACTTTTGGCTCAAGTGCCCAACCAGGTAAAAGGGAGCTTTAGCGCGCGAGCTTCATGTTGAACTAAGGGCTAGAACGGGGCCAGGGCACACCTTTCCATCCGTTCGCAGGTTATCAGCCGTATCCAGACTCCTTTGAGCTGGGTACGAGCTACGGCCTTACGCAACACCATCTAAACGCACACGCATCGGATAGATCAGTTACCCTCAGTCACTGAAGATGGACCAATCCGACGCCAGCACTGCATCCTTTGGAGCAGCTGCTGCGGCCGCAGATCGGATGAGTGCATCCCACAACTCTAGTCCAGGTACGATCGAAGTGGAGACTCTGGCAGCGGTGAGAGAAGATGCGACAGGTAGAGCACGAAGTCGTTCCCCGTCAGCGCACTCGACACCACCGGGGGGGACACCGAGATCAGGCCGTAGCCCTAGGGAGACAAGGAGGAGAACTGACACCGGAGCTGTGAGAGTGCTAGCATTGGAGGATGGGTCAACTGTACCAGTACCGTCGGACAGCGAAGCTGGAGACGGAGCAAGGGCAAGCACTGACAACCTACAACTAGCACGGGCCGATGGAGACCTCAATGCGAAGTGTGCACAACTACTTGCCGAAGTGCATATGTTGAACCACCAAAACGCATGGATGGTCGAATGTGAGCAGAGACAGAGCCAGATTATACAACACGAGACCGAAGTCCACGAAGTAGTGATGGCACACCTCGAAGAATGTTATGTCGAAGGATATGGAAATCAACGAAGAATCTCCCAACTTACAGAATCCAGAGACTGTTTGCTCTCAGCAGCACACGATTTGCAATACCAGATTGACACTGATCGTGTGGCAATGCGGGATCGTCTCACCCAGTTAGGGGAGTACGCTGATCGCAACAGCGCAGAGATGGTTAGTCAAGTTGTGAACATCGGCACGGAAGAGATCCAGGCTATATCGGCCGAAAGAGATCGAGCCATAACCGAGGTCATGACTACAATCGCAGATGCTGAGAACGTCAAGGACCTGTGTAGACAGGAGTTAGTCGGAATACAAAGACAGAGTGCCAGGAACAAACACGAATATGCTGAAGAGATGAAGATGAGGGAAGCAATGTATACAAGCAAGATCAAATGGTTATCAGAAGAGAATGAGGAGCTCAACAACCGATCTAATAATCAGGACAATTTCATCATGACCATCAGGGAGCAATTGAAGAGGGCGAACGAGGAGTTGACACAGGCGAGGATTCAAGGATCCGGTCGACCGTCTCAACCGTCCAACGCCGAACTCAAGAAAGCCGAGGTCAAGGTGAACATGTTGGAAGAGGACATTCTACGTAAAGAGAGGATGCTGAAACGTCTTCAGGAAGAATTGATCGAATCAAGTGCAAGTGAAGCACAACTGAAGGTCGCATTGGAGTTGAAACCATCAGACATGGGATCAGAACCCAATGTGGAGAACGAGATGATGACCAAGCTTAGAGCGGAACTTGGACGTACCGAAAAGTCATTAAGGTCCGAGGAGAAAGAGGCAATGGAATACTACGAAGGTATGATGCAGAACCAGCAGGACATGATGGAATTCGAAGCGCATGCAGCACGGCTCAGAGATGAGAGGAATAAGTACCGAAAGAGGTACGAAGAGGAGCGCTTGAATGCTGAGAATGCAGCCGCAACCGAACATGGTGCCGCCTCATCCTCTAGCTCGGGTGGCTCCAAGATATCTCGGAAGGAACACGAGAAGATCAACATCCCTGCGTGGCCCAAGATACACGACCTGGAGGTTTGGAAATCCCAGGTTGTAGCGGCAGTCGTGACGGCATCGGGCGACGAAAGACAAGAAGATTGGATCCAGTGGCTCTCGGATGCCTTCAGATCACCGTATGACCCATTTCTGCTCGAGACATCAGGCGAAGCAAGATTCGCTAGCATAGACGCTAAGCTAGGTATCACCCTACATACGATCATCCACGCAGCAGGTGAGAGATCTCATGACGTACAACTGAAGGTGAGGCAGATGATGCAGAGACGTGCGAGAGGTACAACTCCTGGAATGGTCAAGGGACGAGAAATGTTAGCGTTGATCGTCGATAGCTTCCGGAGTGCCGACAACGTCGATGTGATGTATGCATCCAAGCCCTTATTCGATCTAAAGTTCCCTGGGGATAATCAACTATCCAGATTCCTTGGACAGTGGGATGAGATCATATCAGGTATGGATGCGGATGATATGCTTCCTGACAAAGCACTTCGCAACCTGCTTTGGGATAAGATTAAGGATTCCAAGGTCATGGCGTTAGACTTGTCTGTGTACGACAACATGTTGGATAAGGATCCGGATAAGACCTACCAGAAGTTACGAGAGATCATGGCGAAGTGGATACGGAAATCAATCGAGACCACAAACAAGAAAGAAAGGGAAAAAGCCTTTGGGAACCTCGTGAAAGCCGCACCAGCGGCGGAGAAGAAGGACCCTAAGGCGAAACCCAAGAATACCAAGGCCGATCCACCGAAGGACGCCGCTCCGGTGCTTCCTCAGGCTAATCCGAAGGACCACAACAAGAAGGACAAGAAGCAGGATCGTGGAAGATCAACCACGAAGAGCCCAAAAGGGGATCGTGGCAGGTCAGCGACTCCAGCAGATACGTCCAAGGTAGGATGCGCCTTCCACTTCCATGGGAAAAACGGATGTTCTAGAGGAGACAAATGTAAGTTTAGTCACCAAGAGAAACACAAAAGTTCTGCTAAGAAACCAGAAAACCTCAAGGGTGACAGATCAAAGAGTCCTGGTGGCAGGAGCACTAGCCCTAAGCCAATGAAGGATCAGGTCTGTTGGAATTGGCAGAAAGGATCGTGCAAGTTCGGGGACAAATGTCGACGCCAGCATCACGCTGCTCCTGCTACAAAACAAGAGGCTAAAGGCAAAGCCAAACCCAAACCGGCTGCGCCAGCCTTCATGCTTTGCAGAGACATCGAGAGTGATGGCGAGGACGCGCAACCCGCACTTCCCAACGTACAACAAGGTAAGCTGGCGCTTCGCTTTAAAGTCAGATTCGATGACCGGGCGAATGTGACCACGTTTACCTGCGATCCTGGTAACGAGCTAAACACCCGTCCCCTCAGGAAGAAGAAGAATGAGGTGCAGAAGGTGGATACCGAGCTCATTTCGTCGTTGAGAGCCCTCAGAGTGAACAATATAGCTGCACGAGTAGCACATGCCAAAGGTAAGATGATGGAGCTATACTCTGCTGAACACATTGCCAAGGCATGGATACAAATCACTCAAGATGAAGGAATCGAGGTGAACGTCGACCTGTCTGACTTCAACACCAGCGAGGTAGTAAGGAAGGATTCTGTCAACTACACGATACCGGGAGACACGATGTTCATGGCTGTGGAGAGGTATGATGGACCACCGATACGCTTCATCATGGACACGGGATGTGGACACGACTTGATCTCAAGAGAGAAAGTCAATGCCATGGGCCTTACCACCAAGGAAGGACCCAAATCCGTGAGCTTCATGACAGCGAATGGTGTAACTAGTACATCAGAGATGGTGGACATCAATGTGGACGAACTACCCATGATGTCCGAGGCACACGTGTTGGAGAGCACACCATCAGTCTTCTCCATCGGGAAACGGTGCATGGAACAAGGGTACTCATTCGTATGGCCGGCAAATCAATTGCCATACCTCA